CTCTTCTCGAGTTGACAGGTTTTACCATGATGGCTTGACGAGCTTGCTCCAGCTTCACAAGAGTTCACAGGTTTCACCAGAGTGAGACTTGTAAACCAGAACTAGTGAAGCAACGAAAGTGCAAAATGCCCCCCTCCCCCGTCGGCAAACTGCGCCTGGTTTACCCATTGTAATGGTTCCAATGATTTCAGGTCGATTGTTCCGTGAATCAAAGGTGGCATCTGTACGTAAGATTTCCGAGGAAGGCAATGTTTACTTCAACAACCTAAACAGGCAATGGGGATAGTCGACTACAGCGAAGGAGCAATCGATTATTGATTGTTTGGTGTCAATTATTATATTATCAATTGTCACATCTGCTCACGTCTTAGCGCGAACACCTCATTGGTATCACCATGTGATAAAGGGTTGTATGACTCGCATTCTTGTGTTAAACTTGTTGGTGAAGGCAGTGCAGTGGCTAAGGGGGGGGGGGGTCGCTAACGAGCTCAGCAATCCGTGGATCAAATCTCACCTATGCAGAACAGCTCCACTTCCGTTTGAGCTCGATTAATGATTTAATTCATGACTAAATGAACCCCAGCTCACCATCTCGTATGTGATTACGGGTACAAAACATCACTTAAAAGCCTTCACAACCTTGAGTAGTCAAACGGACGCAGTTCAGCTTGGTGGAGACACAAAACACTAGTCCACGGAGTTAGTTCAGGCTACGGGTGAAGGCCTGTAAAGTCCTGGAACTAAACTGGATCGCAATTATGTACAACATTGCAAATTTACAAAAGTTTGCAGGTCACATGTAAGGCGAAGTATTAGAAGGAACTAGCGAAACAGCATAGTGCCCCTCCCAAGACGAAGAGCGCCATCAAATGCAAACTCATTCAGAGGATAATGTCATATGAAACTAATACCATGATAAAATAAATGGCAAAATAAATTCATCAACAATATAGAAAGCAAACACTAAATTTCTATCGCTAGTGATAAATGATATGACAGTAATTTGGCCATACCCTACCGTGGAGTTCATACCCTATGATTACCCCAACAACAGCGTGGGGTTCGACTCGCCAACTCTCAGCTCTTACCAGGGCACGTCGTAAGTTGTTACTTCCCAACAAGCGGGTCGTATTCAGTGAGGGAGGAAGTCGTATTCTCGGTTGAGAACAATCTTTTGACCGACCATTTCTCTCTTTTTTTTATTCCGAGTGACCTATCCGCTCCCCTCTCGCTCCCCTTCCGCTCGGAGGCAGTTTTTTATTTTTTTTTTTGTGTGGGGGGATGGAAATGGAGAATTCTAGAAAACCTTTGTTGGAAAAGTGGAGGGAATAAAGGAGAATCTAGAAAAAAGTTAGGTAGGATGGGATTGAGGAAGTGGGAGGTCGTACCAGAGCAGGAGACTCGAGGGGATCCTGTTTCGCAAAATTTCTCCCCAATGGCGGCAAGACGTGCTCTGCTAGAAACGTGAGTCTTCCAACTCTTACCTAATAGCAGCCTTGCTGGGACTACGGCCCCTTTTATTGAGGCACTTTTAGCTCAAATCAGGTTATAGAGCTTTCCTTATACCCGACGTAACTGCCATCTTCCTCTTCGTTTTCCAAGTTTTCTCCCAAAATTTTTTCCAAAAGTTCCCCAGTTTCTCCTCAGAAAACTGCCGCCGAGAGAGGAGGGTGGTCTATAATGCATGAAAAGAGGAAAAAGCGAGAAATGTAGGCAATCGGAAACTTTTTGTCGAGGGGAAAGGGGAAATACGCCCTCTTGCTGAGGATCTGCAACGTACGACGAGCTCTGACAATGCGCAATTCCCGCAGCCATGCTCCACCCACCAGGGATTTTTTCGCTGTTTGCCTAACTGGTCTGTGAACGACCTTTCCTACTAGTTCGTTGGCTGGCATCGAGCCATTCTGTTGTCAGTAACAATTTCGCTCTGATACTTATTCTTGTGGATTTCTCTTTCATTATTCAAACCGTCATCTTTTTTCAACACAGCTTTCTTTTCCTCAGTTGGACTAAATGGTTGACTCCAGGGGGTCCAAGGTTGGATTCATCACGGTGAAATGCGATGCTCAGCCCGCAGGTTCACCTTGGAGACTTTATGTAACATGCTTATAAACAGAACATGTCCTCCCATTGGGAGTAATTCGTGCCATGTACCACGCCCCTAGAAAGCTCCTCCTTTGATACGACCCGCTCTCTCCTTACCTCCCACATCGTGCCTTCCATATGCCACCGGAACCAATCTTCTCATAGGCCAATGCGACACACCTTCCTCCCTTGAGCCACCAAAACTACCTTCCCACCCCTTCGCTGCGGATCCGCAACATAGGACGTGCCCTACCCACGAAATGTTCACCGTTGATTGTTATAATCAGCTCAGAAATGAATGGCGTTGACTGGACCCATAAAAGACCCTATGAGCTCAGAAAGGTACGACTCATTCTCCGGGGAGTGGGGGATGCGAGTAAGACTGGAACAACTTTGTGGAGTTAGCCACCGAAAACAGCTCTATTGGCGACATACGGGATCAAGGAATTCCGCACTCCACCTACTGTGGGTCCGTGTTCCCTGGGTGCTGTGAGGCCGTGTTCCCTGGGTGCTGTGAGGTTTCTAAAAGCTGAACCACGCTTTTTTCATTACCGAGAACGGTCACTTGTCGCCAAAACATCCGCGGACATGTTCCTCGTTTTTTATGTCGAGTAAACGGCTTAGCGGATGGATATGGCCGGCATAACCAGTAGATTAACCGGTTGCTCCTGGTTACTCACCCCTTCTTTGTTCATTGAACGCTCTGTGCCTCCTTAGGGGCTGAGCTGGCCAAAATAAGTGGAAGGTTACGGATCCTCTTCTAACAAATTATGGTTAACTTGAAAGCGATCGCTATGCAACTCCTAATGGAAGGGTGTGTGCTCATGAACCGTATTTTGTCTAGTTCACTCTACGAAAGACCAGCCACCGTAACCCAGTCAGGGGGTCCATTCACTTTTTAGAAGGGTGTTCGGCTAGGTTCGGCTTGGTGAAGAACCGGATGGTACTCAGCAAAGCTTGTGCAGGCCACTTGCGAATTCTTGTGACCGGAATGGCTCAGTCACACCATACCGCTGTTCCACGGTAGTTTACGAGTCTCAGTGGAACAAGACCTTTTATTCAACATGAACTGACAAAAGGAACTAGCGAAGGTAAAGATGGCCCCTCCAAGCCAGTCAGCGCCCAGTAATCATGGAAAGGGACCCATCAATGAGTTGGTCATCGGTTGGCTGAAGAGTCAGTGGAGTTCGCACTCACGCACCTGAATAATTGGGAATGCATGTCGGATACACGACAATGGCGTTGAGTGGACCCGTGAAAGACCCTGTGAGCTGGTCCAGTAGAAGATGCTTTTCTTTCTAAAATGCCGGTGTTTGCAGTTTTTTATGAGCTTGAGTTCATGCTCCACGGTATTCATGTGGGAGGAATCAGGCCTCCCATTGTCCTTCTTCATTTATCAACTGCTCTCTCTGAGACTGTAAAAAGGAGATGCGTCTCCAAAGAGGAAGGTAGAATCGTAAGCCTGCCCCCTCCCATACAGCGAGTGATCCGGGAGCTTAGAAAACACCGTTTTCTCTATAGCGAGTGTAAAAATAACCGGCACTATCTAATCCCTACTAACCAGTTTTGTAATTTCGGTGAGTCTTAATAGTTTTGTGCATGGAGCTATAATCCTATGCACGAGTACTACATCTGGTTGGCTCAAAGCCACATAGCGGTTCTGTCCCTCGGAAACATCCTGGCATCGCAGATTTGTTGGAAACCTGTCCCCAGAGGTGTTTCAAACCCGAGAAGAAGAATATCAGGTTAACGTCAAGTGAAAATTCCTGATGCGTGCGCTATTTGCGTCGGCGGCAAAAGTATCTGGAGCGCTGGCTTTTGTGGCATGAACGCCGGACGTTTTGGCTTCTAGAGGATGTGGTATTCGTGTCCGAGGGAACAGGGGGAGGGAAGTTTCGACAAGAGAAACCCTGAAAGAAAATTTCTGATCAAATCCATCCTGGGTTTCAGAGAAAGGGACAAGAAAGGACAAATAGTTCGAAAATAACTAAGAATTTGCTACCAGTGTTAGAATCGCCAAGGATTGCCTAACAGTAAGACGTTCACTACCACCACCTATTCCTATTTGCAGGTCATCTCCGAGACATCTATATAGTGATGCGAGGCTTTGCACTATTAGAGGGATTAGCCCTGTTCAGGTAATTACAGTACCTTCCATCGTTTACAGTGTACGTGTTCCTAGTCCTTTAACCTCGTCCTGTTTTAGTGTGGCAGCAGCGCAATTTCTTGGCAGTTCCCTATACAGCGCATTGGCCGGCTATGGCGAATCGGATATGTGCCGTTATATTTCCTGCCCATTTGGGCAATACTGCTGGAACGGGAATTGCATCAGCACTGGGGGTGTTGGTGGAGCACGGTACGTACTTTTTATTTCATTTACTTCACTACTATTTTGCGTCTGTGGTGGGCGCAGGGGGAGGGTTATTCTAGTGATGTGATGTAAATAACAAGGTGTTGATCAAAATTTCAGTGGTCTCGGAGGAATTGGTGGACTGAGCGCTCTAACGTCTGCCGCAGCCCTTTATGGTGGTATGGGTGCGACAAGAGGTAACTTTGTATTATTTTCGTGCGCATTCGGCTTGGTGAGAGCAACAAATGGTACACAAGTCAAGCATGTACAGGTGTCCTTATGAGGAACTGTTAACTTGTAACCGAAGTGGCTCCCTTGTTCCATTAGCTTCACACAACTTTACCTTTTTCACCAAAATGAGACCTGTTAGGTAGCATGAACTAGCGGAAGAACTAGCGAAAGTGCGAAATGCCTCTCCCAGGCCGAACAGCGCCTTATTTTCATTATTTTATTGATATGACACGGTCGACAGCTGCAGGTGTTAGCGCCAGTCGGTCTTCATAGCCCGGTCTCAGGATGATAAACTGCATGGCGCATCCTGACGAGAGTTGCCAAGGCCGAAAGCCTTACTCCTTGTTGCTTTTCCAATATCTAATGCTAGCCATCGTTGAGACTGTCAGAGGATCAAGGATTGACCGGAGAGGGCACTATTAGACTCGACTGGCTTTGCCCTTTCGTTTTTAGGACAATCGGCTAATCTTCTATTCTGTGGGGTCGCGGACTGTGAATAAAACCTTGCGAAGACATATGTATTTACTAGTATGGGAACGCGATGCGGAACGCTCGGAGAGAGGGAGAGATGGGCGAGCATTGGGAGAAGATTGAAAAACGCGTCAATGCGCAGTTTAGCTTCGTGGGGACACCAAATAGTAGTCGGAAAAACCTGTACTGGTCACCCTGTGCGACTTGTGAATTCCTGTAACTATGCGGTTCACCTTGCACCATACCACAGCTACACAAGGGCTTACGGGTTCGACTAACTTAGCATTTGTTAGCCAACATCAACATGACCTAGGAAAAGAAATCAACGGAAATTGCAAAATGCTCCTTCCAAGCCGATAAACGCCACCCATCTTGAGGCCTGGTGCACAGATCAACCTTCAAC